TAATACCACAGATGTAGGGTCAACGTCCAATGCCCTCTCCAATACCGACCTCGCACGGCGGAATTCCTTCTGTTCCAATTCCCATTGTGCATATCGCATCCAGTTGTTCATGCTAATGCGGTTCCGTCGCACGTAGTCTTCAAATTCTTTGCGTTTTCGGCCTTGGTATTCATGGAGCTCTTCGAGATCGGCGAACCGCTGTGTAGGGGCTTGGAGCGCGGGTTCTTGACGGTCAACAGCTTCACGGAGGAGCTGTTCAGCAGATATCTGCTGTGGAGCCGGCGCCTTGTTTTTGACCCGCGGAGGTCCTCTAGAAGCCTCCATTTTGGATTGATGGTGGTTGAATGAACTCAGGAGGTAGAGATAGGAAAGATGGTTGAAATTTTGGGGACAGCGGCAAGGGTCGCTAAACAACACGTCTGGGCAATATTTACTTCGGCGAGACGCTCAGATATAAGGAGAATACGCACAGGTCGACAGCCCTTTGTTGCTGTTGAATTGGCTGTTGCGAAAAGCGAGTGAGCTGTTTGCGTGGAAAGATCCTAATCATGCCCAGGTGGTTTGAACAGGTCACATGACCTTATGGCCGTAGCTAATGTTTTGAGCAACAACCAAGCTCACTCTCAACACCTCGTCCATGTGTATACACAGGCGAACACAACCGCTTTCCGTTTAATATTTTATTGGCTTTTAGGGTCGTCATAGCTCAAGGCCATCATGGCGACTTTAGCAGACGAGCTATTGAACGATTTTGAGGAGTCTGGCTCTGAGGATGAGAGCACACTCGCCAACACCTTGTTCCCCGACAAAGCCGCGGAATCTGATGCTGATCGCTCTGCTAAAGTTCGAGGCGAAGGGATGGAGCTTGACGGAGATGAAGAAGAAGTGAACGATGATGACGCAGATACAGATATTGCCATGGACCCAACCGGGAAATTGGACAAACAGATGGGAGAAGCGGATGCTACCAAGGCGAAGGTCGAGAAAATGCGGTTCGGGACTGTGAGCGATGTACGGAGCGTGGCGAGCTTAATGAAAACGCTGCAACCGATTTTAGATGTAAGTCCAGATTCTCTTGACCCTCATATGTTCCGTCTTCTGCGATACCTGTGTTTACATTGGATGATATGGACAAACAGACCTGACCTTTTCGCTTTGCCCTCGACAGAAAGTATCTTATTACCAATCCCTTCCATCGGAGAAAAGAACGACGTCTATCGGCTCAATCGAAGATAATCCCGAGTATCATCTACTTACTGAAGCGAACTCTCTTTCAACTTCGATCGATAACGAGATAATTCTTGTCCACAAGTTCATCCGAGATCACTATTCTACTAGATTTTCCGGAGCTGGAAACTCTTATCACAAACCCTCTGGACTACGCCAAGACTGTTGCAATTTTACAGAATGGGCCCCATGACGATATCAAGTTCTTTGTCAGTCCTCAACGGGATAATCCTGGGTTGGCGCGACCTCTGAAGATCCGTTTCTTGGATGGA